TGTTTTAATATTTTTGAAAGGTGCACGTAGTTACCTCTAAAGGTACAACACGGCTCCACTAAGTGTTGGGATTTGAAGAACATTTCATAAATGGCAGTGTTGCTCTTCCAAAAAAGTGATGTCTTCCAGGAATCTCTGCTTAGTGAGTTTGGAAACCACAGTGAAGACATGCTGCTGTCTTCATGCTGTCATGTTCAGAAGCAGTTGTGTTTGAAATGGACCTATGTAGGCTGCTCTCTGCATTTTCAAATGTTCAAACAACCTTGGTTTGCTGGGGACAATGTTAAAAATGCTGAATACTTCAGTGCAATAACCATTTATTTGTGTGCTTTGTGAGCTGTGCAACTTATTCTGGGACCTTTAAAAAGTGTTTATTGGATGCTCTCTTACCGTAAAGTGTTTCTTGGACAGCCTTTAACATATATTCTCTGCTAAAACAAAGAGAATAGTCACAAATGTGTACCAAAAAGAAAAGAGGAACTTGAAAACAGAAGAGAAGGAAAATTACTGTAATGAACAGATCATTGGACTATATCATACATATTATAAACTCAGGGAAATGCTCTAATATTAGGTTTAGGAGACACCCATTCCAGAAAGCCTTTGGGAGTCTGCACAGTGTCTTGTCAATTATTTTAAGAATTTCAGGCCTGTCTTCCCTATTGATGGCCAGCTGTCTTAAAACTGAGAAATGTGCAGGATCTATGCTTTTAAAGAGGAACTTAGATAATGAATGTCTGTTTTCTCCTTGGTATTCAGGAGAAAAAGGTTTTGCATATTGAAAAAAACCTGTGATATACTTCTAGAAGGATGTTTATAATATTCCTAAAATTAGTCTACAGTTAATTTTCATGTCAAATGCAAAGAGACTTACCAGTGGCAGCAGTCTTGTTAATGCAAATCAGGAGAACTGTGGACTAGTGAAAGTAAAAAAGGAACAGCCTGGATCTGCTGTTATAATATTCCTTCTGTTTGACAAGTCAATGCATTGTAGTTCACGTGTATATTTCATATATGCTTTCTGTTTTAAATGAGCATTCAGAGGGTTCTCCTTGACTGCCACTGTGAAATACAACATTTCATTCTGTATTTAAGTGATGCGTCTTATTGGATTTTTAAAATAAAGTTTTAAATCTATATTTCCTCATGTATCTGTTAGAATAAATGAAAACTTTCTGATTTAAGGACTAACAAAATTTGAACACAATTCATGTGTCATCAGACTTTAGCAGGTAAGTTTTTAGCATGTCCAAGACTGTGTAAGGGGAACTTATTTGGAGCTGTTTATTGTTCTGGCTGGTGTCCTTGGGCAACAATAAGAATGACAAAATCTCTGCTGGACAAAACAACAAAACTATTTGGTGATAGTTAAAGTAATGTGGTGGGCAAGTGTGCTTGCAGACTACAGCAGAAGAAAAAGGTTGGGTTACACCTAAAATAAAATCTTACCTTTTGTTGGAAAGTTGTTCTGAATTTAAGCAGGTGCAGAAATCTTTCAAGGTTTTCATGTAGCTAGCACCTCTCTCTGGAACTCAGCAGAATACATCATTTATCTTGTTTAGCATCTCTGCTAAAGAGTATTGCCTTTATTTCAAACCATCACTTCGTGGCCTCAGCAGCAGCTTGGTGACTGTAATGGTGATACCTGCGTGTGTTTGAAGTGGGACAGAGATGTTGCTCAGAGATTACAACACCAAGGCGAGCAGGGGAGCTTTGAAGAGTGGTGCTGGATCTTGGAGTGGGATTTGATTTCCCTATTTCCATGAGTGTTTTGACTTGTGTGAGCATACATCTTGTACTACTGAGCAGTTTTGCTTTGACTGCCACAAAACTCATGTCTTCTGTCATGAAGGCAAGGATTAAGATTAGAGAAACAGCCAATGAAAGACAGCAATGCACAGTCTGGCATAGGAAGAGATGAGTCAGAAAGTCCATGAAGAAACCAAATTTTTTTTATTAATTTATTGTGCTGCCTCCTATTAGCTTCACTTATAATAGGCACTAATTTCACGTCTGTTAGAAAGCTATGAATAGTTTTTGCTTTCTGATTATAAATGTTAAGACACTTATACAAAAAGATATTATTCAGATAGAACAAAGATATTTAGTTTGTATGGTTTTTCCCTAAGGTTTCCCTTAGGGAAAAAAGTCTACAGTAAAATTTATGACCATGTATTTTGCTAAGTCTTAATTAGCAGCTCATTAACAGGTAAAGAGTATGGTCAAGCAAGGTGTTTTCCTGTTTTTTCAAAATGTTTGGATTTCTTCAGGAAGTAAAATAATTAATGTATATCTTCTATGTATGCATTTGTCTTCCCATGTCTTCATGCATATAAACATACATCTATATCTGTATCTATATCTATAAATGTATATATCTCTAGGAATGCAAATGTATGTGTATGTAATGTAATGGCTGTGACCATATAGCCATTTTCTTACCTTCTCTGTTCCCCACATTCCACACCTTTATTTAGGCATTACATTCTTTCTTCATGCCTTCTGTTTTTCTTGTCTGTTAAACTTTGGATTTTGCAGGATAGAATCTGCCTTTTACTGTGTATCTTCTGTCTATGAGTAGTGCCTGGTAGAATGGAATGCAGTTATGAGTTGGGTTTTTTATGGTCATTTTGTATCGCAGCTAAAAGTGACGGAATTTATTTTGTTGGGCTGATAAAAAATGAATTCTGACTGTTGAGCAGTGAGCAATTGAGCAGAGATAACAATCTTTTACAGATGTAATGAAATTAACATGCAGACAATGGCTATTTTTATCTTTGATGGTGACTTTGTTGTTTTTGGATAACAATATAATTAATTTTTTATCTATAGAATTAATATTTATCATATTAAAATAACAATTATATTTAAAGTCATTAGGGTGATTAAAAAAACCCAGAATTATAAATCTAAGGTTACTTATTTGGAAGTGTATGATAACATACTGAAGTAAATTAAAGCTGCAACATGTAAGACAAATATTATTTCAAAATTATTATTATTTTTTTTGCAATCTGCTTTAATGAAGCCTCTGTGTGCAACAGAGACTTGGAAACAAGGGAGAAAGTCATTGATAATGAAATTGTTTACTTGGCCTATAGAACCACCTTTCCAACTTTAGTTCATAAACTTCTGGTCAAAAAATTGCTTGAAAATGTTTTTCTTGGTAGAGGCTAAAATAACAAATTACAGTGCCTACTGGAATTATGTATATCTGTTATTTTTGTATGTTATGAGTAGCAGATTGGAACCATAACTGTTTCCATTTTAAAGTACAACTTTTTAATGTGCAAAATAAGTAAGTACTGTATATTTAAAATTGTAACAAAGACACCAAAATATAGTATGTAGCTATTTATAATTTAATTAAGAATTCTTAATTTCAAATGTTCATATCTAATTCCTGAGAAACATGCGGAGTGTATGTACACTTGCAGGTACTTTTAATCATTGTGCGGTAAAACAGGTTCTAGTCCAGGACAGTGTGAATGAAAAAAAACCCTTCAGTATAGAGCAGTTTTAAATTTGCACACTGTCCTACAAGCAGCCCAGTTCATATTCTTGCATTGTAATTAGTTGATTTGTAATCCTGGTGATAATTTAGGATGGAGGAATTTCTTTAGATTTCTCATTGTTCTCTAAGGATTTAAGCTTTTATCTGTCTTCCCATAGGAGAACTAAGAATTTGGGTGAGTTGAGATGGCTTCCGTCTGTTTTTAAAAAAAAAAAAAATAAGACTGCCTTTGTTTCTAGGGTCCTGGTGTGTTGGTTAACTACTTTAAAGCTTTTATAATACCAAAATAAGTCAGTTAATAAAAGAAGGCAATTTATATTTGCTGTACTAATATGCATTGGCAGATCTGAAATTCGCTATGGAGTGAATTTATTATTTTGAGTGGTTTTATTATTTCCTTTTGATGATACCAAAACATCTAATCAGGCAAGGACATATTTCTTAAGGTATTATGGGAGATGAATGACAATCCAGAAGATTTTAAAAGATCACTGATCACCCATGAATTTTCCCAGTGACCAATATTTAATAAAGAGGACGTTTGAGATCACGAACTCATTACAAAAAGAGACCAGTGATTTCTGCCCACTTGTTATACCTTTTAAGGTAACAAATGTGTTACTGCTTTGGAATACTCTATGTGCTCTAGTAAATTAAGGTGGTTAGTTCATAACTGTATTATTGTAAAGTTCCCTATGTTTATATCATAATTTGTTGTGATGGCAGGACTGTGAGGAGGCATGTTGGATTGAACAACCCTGTGGCACACAGCATGGGATAATTGCCAAACACTGCCTGCATCATCTGCTCTGACGACAGCAGTTCCTAAAGGTACACAGTTGTACATCGACACATACTGATTAAAGAGAATATTGGTCAAAATCTGGGCACTCCACTCTGTGGAGACTAGCTTAGACAAGAGTTGTAGTTTCTAGGTTAAATTAATGCAGATGGGAAAGATATTCTGTTGTCCTTAAATTCTTATTCATATGTCTACTGCTAAGAAGAAACTTCTGTTTCATTATATTTTGGTTTGTTTTTTGGGGGGGTTGTTTGTTTGCTTTAATTAAAAATTTAAAAATGTCTTATTTCTGACAAATTCCCTGAGGAAATATGTTGAATCTAATGAATCAGAGGTTGGATCTGATTAAGTCCATCCACTGAGGGTGGTTGAATTCTTGAGCTGTGCTCCTACAGGCAGTTTGTGTTCAACTGACTTAATCTGCTTGACTAACAAAAACCCAGTTTTGAGAACTGCTACCAAATGTATATAAACAAAGCTGAGCAGACAGACATGGCATTTACAGGTGTTTTTGTAGCTGTATCATAAAAGCCCATGTTACATTTTCCCAGCCTCAGGGCTGCCATCCTACTCTTTCCCATGCCACGCATTTCTCCCTTCCCAGGTTTCTTCCTGCTTGCTCAAGGACTCAGAAAGTACAACAGAGCAATGCTGCTAACAGCAACAAATCAATACACATCCCAATTAGATTAACCAAACTTTGCTTTTATTATCTCAGCCAGGGCAGGCCAGCAAACAAAACTTTGAAATCAAGTTCCTTACCTTCCTTCTCCTGTGCATAAGACAGAGGACATCACACGTGAAACTTTTACTTCTGAGAAAATTTTATTTCTTGAAATCTGTCATCCATTAATTGTACAAATCTGAAAATGTGTTGATTGCATGAGTATTACTTTTGCCTGCTTTTCTCTTCTTGAATTCCTCAGATTTGCAGCATTTTCCCCTTGAAGTATCCTTTACACTCTTTCCATACTGCTCTCCATTGCTGTCCTCCAGAATGTCTTTGTGTTGACCTTCAACATACCTTGATTCCACTCCTTTACTTTTAGATCTCTCTTTTTGTGTCTGCAAATAATTTATACTAATTACCTAAATTATCAGGAGAAGACAGGAAGTGGGAGCACAAAAGTATCTGTAAATTGATTTATCCTAGTTACATTTGAAGACCTGCCTGCTAATCAATGTATATCTGGGAACAGTCCATGTGTCACCTTGTTGTCTGCTAGAATTCTTCCTTCTGGGCCTTTTGGCAAGTATATGGTCAATATAAACTTGCCTAATTTTTTTTAGGTGTTTTCCCCAAAATCAGTGATAGATTTTATCTTCCTTCCAACTAGTGCAATCTTCAGTGGGAAAGCTAAACCTACTAACTAATATCTATTTATTTATGTGCTTCCAAATAGCCTATTCGCTTTTAGGAATTAACACACCAATACTTTGTAGCTTCCCTGCAGCTTTTGTCTGCAATTTCCAAATCAATATTTTACAGAGACTTTTTTTCTTGCTGTTGTTACTGTTGTCAACATATTAGAGTTTTTGCTTAATTTAGAGTTGAGTGTAGTATTAGAAATTTTTTGTTCTGGACTTCTTGTCTCCTAAGTATTTTTCTCTGTTCTTATAGATTCAGTTTTCCAACACTTCATCATGTGTATGTAGTTGCCCATACAAATGTTAGCCAGATAAATCTGTTTGTTCTAAAAACTGACATATCCTCAAGTAAGAAAATATTCATGTTTTAAGGGTGTGGGATGGCAGAATTTAGATTTTGCACAGAGAAAAAATGTGCTGTCTTCCACACTAATAATTTTCCAAATGCCAGCTCCTACTCTTGTTGGTTTCAGTCTTTTTCAATCCTTCTCAAAAGGTCTCTACTTTATCTTCTCATCTACACAATGAAGGCTTAGAAAGGAGAAATTTACTCACAAGTGTGATCTATGTGGTTCAGGAAGGATTTTTCCTGGCCTGTTACACCCTACAGAAACTCTGCTAGATATCTTTAAGACCATGACAGCTTTTTCTTGCTTCTTGACCCGCTCAGTGTTTAAGTAAGAATCCTGATTTTATTTCTCTGGTATCATGGTAATTTAAACTCTTTATACTTACTCATTCTATCTCAGTGTTTTTAGAGAAAGTGCAGAGGTTTTAGGAAGCTTCTAAGTGGTCAGGCTGGCTCCAGCTCTGAGTTCATCACAGCTGGAGTTGATCTAAGTTTGGGCTGCTTTGTCCTCTCCTCTATTGGCTCTGGCTCTGTGTTTCCACCTTCTGCACTGTGTTGGCACTGGCTCTTGTCTGATCCATCTGTGAATTGCTCCTTGGAACAGATCTAGCTGAAAAGTTTTTTTGTTTCATTGTTCTTTTATTTTATTTTTTTTCTCTTCACTTTGGTGGGGTTAGCTTACAGATGAGCAGCCTCCCTGGGCTGGCTCCTGTGCACGTGCGTGGGTGTTAGTGCTGAGGCAAGGGAAAGAATGGAGAGCCTTGGTTGTAGATGGGGCTCTGATAACCTGGATTCTTTGTGGGTTTGAGGTGCCATCAGATCCCACCTCCAGGCTGCAGTTCCACCTTTTCTCTGAGCTGATCTCCACACCGGCACCCATTCCCTGCCGCTGTTCCCTCTGGGCCTGCACTACTCTTTTGTGTAGTTGCACTTTTCCAAATCACAGCAGAGCCCCTCTCCTTGCCCCCAAAAACCACAGCAGTTGCTTCAGCTGACAGAGCATGGAGCCGTGTAATGTTACTGCTGGCAGTGTAGGTGGAGCAAGAAAAGTAAATATTTTTTTTAAAAGTAAAAAAAGTACATGCCAGTCATTAAGCTGTGTAAAGTAACCGTGGAATTGCAGCTTGTGAAGTGCATGTATTTATATTTATTACATTTTACCAATGAACCAGCCTGTTTAGCCTTGACATGACTTTTAAGAAGACTGTTCTTGAATGGAAGATTGTTCTCCCCCTCCTCCTCCCACTCAAACCTCCCAGTTTAAGTCTCTTGGTAGCCACCTGTAAGCCCCTGTCAATATAAAGTCCAAGTCTGGCATCTTTAATATTCCAGAAATCCATTAAGTGTTTTTACACATATATACATGTAATTTCATTTGTATTTACAGAGAAAATCAATAAAGCAATAGGGTTATGAAAAAAAAAAACCACATTTAACAGATTTTCATTGAAAAATAATTTAATATGGTTCCTTGAAGTGTGCAACTAAATTCATAGGGAAGGAATAGGCTGATGCTATTGGCCTAAATTGTGCCTGCTCCTTTAGCCTTTACACAGATGATGATCTGCTCCAAGATACCCATTCTGAAGTATCACAGAGCAGGGAATGACTAAAGGTAAATGGTAAGACTAGACAAGAGTTGCAATTACTGTGGAAATTGGAATTCATCTCACTTGTCTTAGTCTCTACAATACTGGTATCTAGCCTAAATGTATTGTTTCTAGGTCTTTTTCAAAGTGGGAGAAAGGGACAGACTTCTCCAGTGCTAGTTCCTCTTCTACTTCATGGGCAAACCAGGCAATAATGAAATGTGCTTTGGTGATACCTCTCTGTATGGATGGATGGATTTGATTATAAAGAAATTCTGCACAGTTAGCTTATACTAGACAGCTACTTTTAATTTCCTGAACTTTTATGAGCTATAAACTAAGATTGAAGCTCAATTATCATATGCACAAATTTTTAATCCCTTTAAGTGTGGAAAACTTTTATATGACTGTCAGCTTTTTTGTATTAGCTAACTGCAAATATTTCATCAACTTATTACTCTTTACACAGACAGAGCTACATCCATTTTAAAGAAGTTCTGAATTTCTAAGAAATGTAGTGATTTGAACGAGAAAAAAATTTTAAGCAAACATCAGAGAAAAGCTATAATCTTTGGGTTTTACATTAAAAAAGTATCTAAAGTAAAATAATGCTGGAAACGTTACTGTGTTTTGGCAATAGCTTGCTTACATAGAGTTATTTATTTAGTCCACTGAGTATGTTCATGAAACCTTAGTAAATTTTTGAAGTAAAATTTGCAAGTAGCATAAAAATCTAGCTGGCTAATAACAGGATATTCTCTGCATAAGTGTGGTTAAAAATAAGAATAAAAAAAAATAAATCCAGATTTTAAGGAGTAGTATCTCTGCATCGAAAGGGCAAGAGTCTAAATCTAAATGTAAGTGTAAAGGCTGGAAAAGATTGAACATATGTTATTTCCCACCAGCACAATATTAAATGCAATTATTTTCTTTCTGCTAAAATCTTGAATATATCTTGCAACACAACCTCAAAGAGTCCCCTGCTGCTGTTGATTATAGTGAATCCCACTTCCTGCCACCCAGTAAGTCTTTGCAATTTTCTCTTTTTCGCCACCCTGTGGAGATAAATAATGTATATTAATGTGGAAATATCAACAGTAAAATCTCTTAATATTCTCCACAAAATAAAGCTTCTCTCTAAATCAAAGGATTTGTATCATTCATTAATTTTATGAGCAAAAAGAAGCAAGTTCCTTATGCAAAGGCTTTGAAAAGTTTGAATCTCACTCTTAGAAAACAAGTACGCCAAACACTGTATAGGAGAGAAATGAGATTTTTCAAACTGAAAAAAGGATTTGGTATAGTGTACTACATTTAAACCACAGATTTTAGTGTTTTCATTTCTCAGACTCATTAAATAGACCTTGACAAATCCCCGTGTCTCTTCCTTTGACCCAGAACCTTAGGAAGTGTGTCAGAGAATTTAGTGCTGTTTTTCAGGAATTGCTCCCTGTGCTGAACACGAGTGTTGAGGATGTTCTATAAAAGGTTCATCATGTGTGGCTGTGATAAAAGTGTGCATTCAAATCCTATACATTGCTAATTCCCCACTCAGCTGTCCCCACTTTTGTACATTAAAAAAACATAACAGGACGAATGTCCTTTACAACTCTAGGCTGTAGAAAGGACAAGAAAAGCAAAGGCAGAAGCTATGGTGCCCTGAATGCTGCTTTACAATCGAGGCTGATGTTTCAGTGCTTAAGTGGAAAATTGCCATACTAAAGAAATGATTGCTTGCTGACTATACGAGTTGGGGAATCTGGGGTGTGTGTGACCAGATTGATTCTAAAGTGCTCTTTATTTTCTTAACATGCTTTTCCTTTTAATTCCAACTTCCAGGAACATCGACTCTTTTGATGAACACCGTAAACATTTCCTAAGTTAAGAGAAACCCCAACCCTATAATGCTAACCTTTCTATTGCTTAAATGAGAAAGCTAATTGAAAGAAATATTCAAGCCAGAGAATAAGAAAAATCTTAAATAAAAAATAATTTTAAAAAATGAAAGAACCTTCTCAGAACAGAACCCTTAGTCACCAACATTTCAGATGGCAGTCTGAGGAGTCTAACCACTCTGTATTATTAAAATACCATCAAATTAAAATAACGGCAAAATACTGAGACAGAGGCAAATTGTGTTCCCTGCTCTGTGGTTGTGGCAGGCCAGCAGTCAAGGACCCAGCCAGGAGTGTAATTTCTGTGGGAAGGAGGGGAGGGAGAAGGGAGGATACCTTTTGTGTTTCAGGGCTGGGGAATGTGGTACTAGAAACCGTGGGCAGTTGTGAGCTGCATTTTATTAGCTGGTTTGGTACTTGGCAATAGTGCAGCACCAGTGCAGGCTGTTACTGACTCAGAGAGAAGCCGTTTCCTTCTTTTGTCCCCTTCTGCCCTACTAATAACAGCTGCTGGGAAGGTATTTTCCCCGTACTGTTTTGTTGAAAGGTAGATAAATATTTTCAATTATCCCTTGCTGTTAGATTTCTGTGTAAATAATTTGTGTTATGGTAAAATCCATCTAAGGTAGGAAGACTGTTTGCTACTTTCAGCCCAAATTCTGTAAACATTTCTATGCATGTTTAGTTTTCACCATGTGAGCAGTATCCATTTGGGTGAAGTTAAGGATGGCTGTAGCTCCACATTGGAAACTTGACCTACTTTGCATATCATTATGCATGTAGCACGATTTTAGTCCAAGAGAGTGTCCCGGAGATGGGAAGTCTGAGTTGCAGAAGAGTCCGTCGAGGAAATGAAATCTAGCCAACTAATATGAATTAAATATTTTTGTACTTTAGTGTAATATATTCATTCACAACTGGAGAAGTAGTAGGAATAACATAAGCATTAACAAAAAGTAGAATTTATTCAGTGGCTGAGGCAGAAACCAAAAGCAGCTTGGATGGTGGCGACACACAGGTGATTTATGAGTGCCTTTTACGATTAGAACTGCAGATTTTGGAATTAGTTTACTTTGCAAAGAGAGTTTTGTTTATTTTGAAAATGGAGATATTCCAAGATTTAAAAAAATTTTAATGTCAAGTAAGCTATGCATTGTCTTACTTGTACCAGGGTGTTGTAATAGCAATACTTAAAAATCCTCCTATCGAATGTGATGCAGGATTTGAAGTGTGAATGCTGAAGCTCATTACTATCTATGAGTATTTCTATACATTATCTATTCCATTAACTTAGTTCCTGATGCTGCAGAAGTTTAGATGCCCAGAATTATACAGGGTGAATAATTCTATTAGAGTAAATGGGACTCCTACAAATGTGTGAAGTGAAATGTGAGCGTGAAACAAGCGGGGCTAGGCCTTTTAATGGGGATCTAGTTTTGCATAAATATAATCAGTATGTGAGGAGTCTTTCATGAATTAAGTCTCCAACAGGCTCCCTCCAGGTATAGAAATAGGATAAGATGCAAAGTCCAAAAAGGGTAGGCCCCAGGTTTTTAGGGGCTTACGTCCACATTTGCACGCATTGAAGCAGATAGAGGCAGATATGCGTCTGTCTAAATTGAGACAGGCATTCTTAGCATTTTTCTACTCAAGTGACTTGGTGTAAGTGACTTGTTCAGAAACACTCTGTAGGTTTGTAGCACAGCCAGGAATAGAACCCACATCTCCTGACTCACAGTTATAGACCAGACTTCTGCTCAAATTTGTGTGAAAACTTAATTGGCCATGTTTCTCTGTGAGGGGGAATTTATTAATATTGCTGCTACCTTTCAGTGTTTTGTCATTTTCTCGATATGATCTCATTCAATAAAGGTGTAGAGCTGAACGTGAGCTTTCTCTGAGTAGATGCAGAGCATCTGGTTTATACAAATGGTTTCCCACCAAAAAGGAAAACTTGGAACTGTAGATTTTTAATGCACAGATCTTGTGCTGTTGCAATGTTAAGAAGTCCTTGTTGTTATGAATGTGCATTATGAGTATATTGTACACAGTCCTGGTATGCAAATGTGTAGCATTCAGAGAAGTGAAATAATTCTGTGTTATTATTATCTTTGTAAATTGCATCTTAAGAGTTTGTTGAGGACTTTACGATGGCAGTTTTCTATAGTCACAGCTATACAGCACAAAGTGTTTCTTTCATTATTAACAATAACTGAGCCAATGAAAATGCTTTTAAATATACACCAGACAAGCAGTTATCCAGCTCTTCCTTCTTACCATCCACAAACCATCTTTTAGCATCTTATAAACGAGCATGTAAAATAGCTTTGTAAACATCTGCTTTTCATTGTTAATTGTCAGGGGAAACTAGAGATTTAAATGCTTCTTTTGTAGCATTCCTTAATCCTATCAGAAAGGAGAGCTCTAGATGCTTCTCCTTTCTCACTGCAGATAGCTTCCATAGGCTTGGAGCTTTCTTCTTTTTCCTTTTAATTTATTTTCTTTTTTGTAATATCGATAGTTTTTATTTACTTACAAACAGCTTGTTTCACATCTCAGTTCTAGTCTGTGTGGCAACTCAGTAAATTTAAACAAAATATACTATGGAAGTATTGATTGCTGTATAAAATGTGTTGAAAATCTAAATTTTTTTCTCATTACGATGTGCTCAGTATTTTCTTTCATATATAAACTATCAGGTCAGGTATTGTATCATATATATGCAATAAGAAAACAGGAGTATATGTTCATACATAACATAAAAAATAATAAATAAAAACTCACACTGCTACAATACAATTATTATTTTTTTAGAAACACTGCCTTTATTTTGGTTAGCTTTTCTGTTCTAATAATCAAGTCATTAATGTCAGTTGAGTGTGTCTGGCAATGATTTACTTAAGGTAGCATTTATAACACACAGTAGCTGCATTATACAGGAAAAATAAATCTATTCATGTTACATTTCCTACCTTTAAAGCTTTTTAAAAATCTTGTATTGTGGTCCTGGATTTGTAACGTTTGACTTTTTGCTTCTTGCACGCACAAAAGGAACATTGATGATTTAAAACTATTGCATGTTTTATATTTTGTGAACAGGAATAAATCTCCTTTTTTATGTTTCTTTTCCCCTGCTTTATTTGGAAAAAGATACTTAGAGTTTGAATATTTCTGTAGCTTTTGTCATTTAATTTTGGTGTTGTGAAGTCTAAGTCTGCTTAACTAATTCCTCCAGCACACTCATTATTTTAGAATAATTTAGATTTCTTCCCATTTTGTTAATTAAATAATAATTTAGGGGTACCATTACCTATTAATGTTTTTATTCCTGCTATTCAATATTTACTTCTAGAACTTCCTAAAAGAATTGTTACATGGACCTCAGCATCACTGCATGTAAAATTAATTGAAATGACATATTGTTGCAGTTTCTATGACAACCATATCATGATGCTGATGCTCTCAAAAATTTATAAACTACTATTTCAACTATGCTAATAGCACTGAGTAGAGCTAACATTTATTTACTTAATACTCTTATTAGAATCAAGCTTTAATACTTCATTTAAAAAAAAAAGAAAAAGGTGTATGTCGGTATTTTTCGTTTGTCTGATGGGTTTTTGTGAAGGAATTCTGGCTTTCTATGAGAACCTTTTTAAAATCTAACTCTGCTATGTTATGTTGACAAAGGGCTTATTCACTCAAAACAAAGAGAATGTATATCATCACTCACAAACTTTTAAACACGACATTCCAAAAGAACTCTTACAGTGCCATCCACGGCAAAAAGCAGTCTTGTTTTGCTAGTGGAATATTTAAAGACAGTTTATTCCTATGTCTATTGTCCTAGATGCTAAATCTCAGATGCTTGTGACATGAGAGTACTGATTCACTGGCATGACTTACATAAATAAAATCACAAGCTGAAATGTCTTTATGAGCAGGCACAGAGTTATAAACCCCCTAAAAATATTTACTTATTACTGCCTTGGTTTATTGTAAGTGGGAAATGTGAAGAGGCTTTGCCTGGTTACTTGAATTTTTTTTTTCCATATTAAATACATACCTTTAGTATAATCACGTTATTCCATCAATCTGCAGGCTTTTGGAAGTTAGCTGATTTTAACAGTTTGACAGGGAACTCTATTACTCAGGCAACACTCACATTGGAATCAATGAGTGTTTTACTTGAGTAAAAAATTTAGGACCAATGTAAAATGCCTTATTCAAGTTACTTCATAATTATATAGATTGCAATGACTTAAAAAATAGTGAGCTTTGCTCTCCAAACATAGTAATTTTATTCAGTCTAACTTGCACTTATTAAAAAAATGTGTTTTCTATTCAAAATGTGTGATTCTCATATATAGGGCTTATTGATCATTGATCCAAATAGGAAATAAAACACCTTGATCTTTCAGTCATTTGTCTTAGGAAGATTCCAAAACAGTCCAATCACATTTACTACACTTCAGTCTTAAATCTGATATTACCCTGGAAAAACGTTTCATATAATTGAATGTTCAAATATGTTGAGATCATGTCGCATTTCAGCTTTACCAGTATGAGTGCTTTCAGCAGTTTCTGCCCAACATCCCCGGTTTACTAAGCTATATTTAAACATGTTTTGAAAGATTTATACAGTGATTTGCTTCTTAGTCAACTTTGTTGCAAGAAGTTACTACTGCGTATTTGGGTAAGAATATGTGAAGTGCCCAAAGAGGAGAGGAGGGAGGACGTGGTGTGGGATATGTCATGATATTTACAAGCTCCAAATAAAACTGGACATCTTGAAACAACTCCCTACCCCAAAATATCTTCGTAGACATTTTAACCTCTTGTCTTGGTATTTTCTAAACTGTTAATCCTTTCCAGCATCATCATTTTGAGTCTCTTGATATGAAGCATGCACTTCACAGGCACAGGACTTGAGCTTCTGGATGAAACTGGCAGTGGCACGAGCCTGCAAGATTAGGCCATATTGTCACAAATCCTAAAGAACATCTTGAAACCAGTGAAATTTATAAGTGCACCATGGTAGTAATATAAAATACCAAATCATTGTCCTATCTTGAGGATTCCTTTTATTTCTGTTCATGTGGCATGTATATGTGGCTAAGTGGTAATACATTTATTTGCAGTGTGGGCCAGTCTCCAGGTCAAAGACAACTTTGTTTGTTTATTCTAACCTTCAGGGTTGTTTTTCAATATTTTTATTTGGTTTTATTTGGGTCTTTTTGTTTGTTTGTTTGTATTTGGAATTTTGTTTGTTTGTTTTTTCTCAGTATATGTTTGTAGCACAATAGTTTGGTCAGGGACATTGAAAATTGTGCTTTAGTGGTGGGGTTATTTTTTATTTGAGGGGGTGGGTGTATGAAACAAAAATAAACTGATGGAATCATTGCTGTGTTACAATAGAAAGCCTATACACGCTGTTGAATTCCAGCAGGTGCTGTCAGAATGGGACACTGCCAGTGAGAAAATAAAAGCACTGTGGTGTGCTGATAAGGGTTTGCAGTCATCATGTTTCAGCAAGGGCTTTTCTGTCACTGAGATTCTGGGGGAAGATCCTCAGCAACTTTCACATTTACACCACTGACCTAGAGTTTACTCTGGGCTGGAATATAAAATAGAGCTGCTGTGGGCTGTAGAGGGGTCCTGTAGCACGAGTCCTCTCTCAGCCCCTCTAATGTGTGTGCAGGTACAGCTCTACCTGACACAGATCTTCCTGGTCCCCCTCCTACCCGAGACAAGCTCTGCTATTCCCAGCTGAAGCTGGGAAAATTGGTATAATATGTGAGGCTGCACAGGTGCATGCCGTAGTATGAGTGTGATGATTGCTCTAAACATCTCTGGCGTGGCTTTGGGTTGCTTCTGGAAAAGCACATTTTAAATCACCGTTAATCTTGAGCTGCGTTTTTGTATGTTAGTGGTGGTTTATGGTCATCCTGCTCTACAGAGATCGGAGTTGAAAAATGATTAGGATGACAAACAGGCAAATCCAGCTGTTAGGTGAAATTCGCAGATTAGGGGAGCAGATGCATTTCAGTGGAAATACTTGCACCTTCCACAGTCACACTACTGTTTTTCTACTTTAACTCCGTGCATGAAAAGCATCAGGTATCCAATCTTAAGGTGATTCCTAAGCACAGCTGAAGGTAATTGCCATTTTTTGGAAGTTGTTATTAGAGTTCTCACGATTCAAGTGTGGAGGTTACTCTGCCAGTGCAACTAGAAGGTAGGAGTTAAGGGACTTCAACCTTGCCAGTGCAGTCAGTGCTTTTCTGGATGCTGGGATGCCTTGACATGATGGATGCTTTCCAGTAGCTGGGATGCTTTCCACCAGCTGCAAAAGCCTCCTGAGAGGAACCCCCTTCTGGGTTAAAGCTTTCTGTGAGAGGTAAGTGGTGTGTTGTGCCCCTGTATAAATGGATCTGTCTCCTGCACTGGATCCATTTCCATAGCTTTCATGTGCCTGGAGCATGACTTAGAACCTCATCGTGCTGAGCCTTGTTCACAACTTTTAGCAGTGTCACCCCAGGTAATGTCCATGGGTGGTGACAGCCTAGTCTTTCTTCTTTTCTTTTTTCCCTATTCCCCTTCCATTAATATAAATATAACCAAAACCCCAGCCTCAAGCTTTAGGAAATCACCTAAACGACTAGAGAAGGAAAATCTTCCAGGGAAGTCCGGACAGTGCAACTGGCCTGATTTTGGCCGGGGAAGGAGGCGGAAAGAGGATGAGCAGAGGAGCCAGCAGTGCTCCCTGGCACACGCTCCGAGGGGACGCTGCCTTCCAGCAGGGGGGTCGGAGGGGATTTACTGGGAGCGGTGCCGGCGGGAGGAGCGGGCCGGGATGCGCTCTGCCCTACTCACCCCAGTCCTCCGAGGAGCGCCCGGCCGCGGCGAGACAGGCGAAGGCGGGAGAAAGTCCCGGGGCGGGGGGCTAAGGAAAACACAGGTGCGGCGCTTTCGCTTTGCGTATTCCCATCTCCTCAATTCTCCTGAAATTCTCCCCGTCTTTCTCCGGCCCCTGAGAGCGGGCGAGAGGCAGCGGCGTGCGCTGTCCCGGAGCCCCGGGCGCTGCGGGCTGCCCGCGGCGGAGCCCCGACGGCGCCGTCCGCCCTGCGCGGGGTCCCCGCGGCCGCGGCGCGCTCGGCTGCCCCGGGAGCGCGGCGGGCGCTCGGTGCGGGGCCCGCGCCCGCCTCACGGTGGCGCGGTAAGCACATGGACAGCCCCGGGAGCGCGCTCCGCTCTGCCTTCCCTGGAATAACAGTCCCGGTAATGTCTCGGATAAATCAAACCGCTGCTACGGCGGCGCAGGCACGGGGGGTGCGCGATGCTCCGCGCCGGCGGAAGGTGTTTCAGCCTCCCCGGTCTGAAACACCTCTGCGCAGAGCCCGGCGGCGTCGGAGCGAGGGTCTGCGGCATCTCAAGAGCGCGGTCTCACCTGGGGTTAGTTTCCCCCTCCCCCTCTCCGCCTCACTCCTCCCCCAGCCCCTCAAGAGAAGTTTGCAAAGAATGTGATGGAGAGTGTAAAGCGGCAGATGCCGACGTTAAGCTCCAGCTCGGTTCGGGCACCGGGAGCTGAGCCACAGCCCCGAGCCGCCGCTCTCGTCAGCGCACAGCGCGCCGCTGGCACCCAGGGTACCCGTGGGGGGACAAACACAATGTAGAGTGATCTTACCTCCGAGCCGAGGGAGCAGCCTGCGAGGCAGCCGCGGGAGCAGCGCGGCTCCTGCCTCCCGCCCCGGCCGGTCCGTCCCCGCGCTCCGGCAGCGCCGCCGCGCCCGCCCCGCCGGGCTCCGCTCCCGCCGGGCTCCCCCCGCCCCCGGCGGGCTGTCCCCCGCCTCAGCCCCGCACACATCCGCGAGGCAGGGGCACCGCTCCGAGGCAATCCTTGCCGGTGCAAATCCCCCGAGGCTTCTCTCCGCCAGAGCGTGGAACAAAATTGCCGGTTCCCCTGAGTTTTTGTCAGGCTGTGCTGGCGCTCGGGAGCAGGTAAGGCGGCTGCTGGCTGCCAGCGATCCCCGCTGCACTTGCAGCGAGCAGCAGGAGCCGGTGGAAGTGGGAGTGTGGTCTGCTCTTCATTAGGGAGGGGGGAACGGACCCTGGAGGTGATGCAGTGAAACACTTCTACTCCCTTGCATTGTGTTTGTCACAGACCACGGGCGCTCTCCTTTTATAACATACACTTCAAGCATTCTCAAACCCAACCGGAATAAGTTCTGATCCTCCCCTTTAGTTTACATTGGGGTTGTCAAAGGATTAAATAAATGAAACTTTATTTGACCGTGGAGTTTACAGACCCTGGGATCCCTGGCGCTCTGGCCTTATTCTAATTCTATAGCGGTAATTACCCTTCGTTTCTTTAAGTGCAATAGATTTATTGCCTTAGAGACTATGCACAGTTTGATTGAATTATTCATTTTTTTTCTTTGGTGTAGACTGCATCTGGGGACTGATGTGACGTGTAGATTTTTTTTTTCAGGAACAAAGGGAATGTGGAAATGAAAGAGAGAGGGAGAGAGAGGCTGGCAGATGTGATGAGATGCGGTGAAGGTGTATCCAGCTTGGCACTCCCACTCCTCTCTTCTCCTCTCATTGCAGCCCTGGGTGACTCTCAGGCTAACACAAACAGCTTTTCTTCCGCAGCCTGCCCTCTGTCACTGTAAGTACAACAGCCTTCTCTTATCAGCATGCAAATTCCAGCCACTCACTACCTTAGCCTGGTGTTTGCACTTTAGATTTACAGAAGGGACCTTTAAAATGAACTTTCTGAGACAGGAAGGGGTTTTCATGTCGAACTTGCTTTTATTTTCTTTGTAAAAGTTTATGTGGTTTTTCCAGTTCTCTCTTCTCCCCCCCCCCCTTCCTTTTTTTTTTTTTTTTTTTTTTGAACGGCGGGGGCGTGGAGCGGGGAGATTGTTGCTGCGGCTTTTTCCTTCGCTATCAAGATGATGCACAGTTTAAAATGAAATTAAAATCTCCTTGATCCTTTTTCTGCCAAGACAATACATTTTGTTGGCAGATGAGTCTGTAAGGAATTCAGAGTTTTTGTTTTCAGGTAGATCTTTAGCTTTGAGTGTTACAAAATGCAAACATCCCCTAAATTTGGAGGAGTTCGCCAGAGGTTCTTGTTCTAGGGGAACTAGTATCAGCTGATGGGTTTGCTTTTGAAGAAACGTGCAGTAATTTACTTCTATCCAGTCTAACAAAACTTTTCCCCCATCGGATTATCAGGCTCTAACTTATTTTCCTTTAGCTTTCTCTCAGATGCTGTTGATTATTTTGCAAAAGTTTCTCTGAACATCTTTAGCAAGCCTATAACAAGCCTTCATTGTCGGACAGTGTCCGCAGAGGGAATTTATAAGCGTGCCTCTTAATTGTCCGGCATTAACTGGGATGAGAGGGCAGTATAGTAGTGGGTGAATGACTTTTAAAGTGAAATTTCTTGCCCTTTGAATCCAAAACTTCTGAGACTGTTCCGCCAGCTCTCCAGGAGTTGCAGGTTTGCTGCTCAGGTTTAAGATGCGCTACGTACAACTTAGCGCACAGCCAGGTTGCCTCGCTTGTTGAATGTTGCTTTACTTTAGCGCATTTGGTGAGACACACGGCGCAAAATGCCATGACAGCTGTGCACAGGTAAGTGCCCCGACCTGATGTGAGCGCCTGCGGTCCCTTCCCTGCGCAGGCACCCCCAGCAGGTCAGCATCCCTCCTTAACATCTGCCTGCCTTTAGCCCTCATGAAGCCAAAGCAAGGGCAGTAATTCCAAAGGCGGTGTCTAAACGTGGGGTAAGGCTCCAAGTGGAAGCGTTTTCTTGTTTCTCGGCACGTGTATACGGATCCGCACGGCGGGTGTTCAGTTATGCAAACAAAGAGGGAATCACAATTATCCCCGTGCAGCGCGCACACACACACACACACACACTCACATTTGCATACAATGCCCAAGGAATCCTCTTTTCCTGCCGCCGAAAAGTTGCCGCTCTCGGGCGCTGTGAGTTCCATCTGTAACTTAATTGATCACACAGGGGAAGCAACAAGCTGGAGAGCGTTCCTGGCGTGGCCGCATCCCTGCCGTGTCCTGCCCCAGCCCAGTGTCTTTCCCTGCGCTGGAATTTCGGGAGTGCAGCGGGATGCTCCCCCGATTTGGAGCTAGGTGGGCGGTTAGATGTATCTGATGCCTTAATTATCTCTTGTCCCATTCCCGCTTCTTGTTTAATAAGGCACTACATTTGAGGTGTGCTTGGGTTGTTTTTTGCATTTCTGTTTCTTGGAAGAAAAAAAACTTCCAGCAACAAATTACTAGAGTTGCAGACTGAGGTAGTCTATTCGTCCTTGTATTCTGATTTACATTTCTTCTCTTACGTAGCTCATTTTAATTTTTAAAAAATCTTTTTGCGTGCCAAAGCTACACTAGTTGTGCAAAAAGTCAAGGTATTTCCTTTACTTGCAGCAGGTTTAAATGTGTTACAAGGAAAGCGTTAGTGGCCAATCGCGGGAATTCTTATAATTAAAGATTAAAAATGACAGAATAATATCTCGAGAGGCAGCTATTTACTGTTGTTAATTCCATACCCCGGGTAACTGCAGCAAGGTGCATACTTTGAATTAGCTGAATGCAGGTGAATACAAACTCAGGATTTACAATCATACAATTTGCTCTCATCTCTGAATTTCACTTTTTTTAGTGCCTGTTATTAAAATTGAAAGAATGCATGGAAATTAGCTACTATGCCCTCATCAGCGAATTTGATGATAAAGCTTTACTAGATAATTATAAAGTTCTATTTCAAGGTGATTGCTTCTTGCCGAATAGGACTTGGTTACTCCTTTTATTGTAGTGGAATTGCCAAAAATATTGTATAAAACAGGTCCACTATTCCAAGAGGGTCTAACTTACAACTCCTTTTCCCTGAACTCGGCTCGAGAGGGGCGATAGCACCTCGGATAGCAAAGGCAGAGGATGCAACGTGCATGCCTCCAGCAGTGTGTCGAGTTTTACAGCTTGTTAACAAAATGAATCAGAGCCAGGTCATATCTGTCCTGTGCCACCGCGTTAATGTTCAATTTTCATCACGTCCTGCTGGAGCCAGCTTCATTCGCAGTGGGGCTGAGTGTGCTTCTGGGTCTAACCTAGTCTGCAAATTTCTGCTTGAGAGAGAAGGAAAGTGAAATCAGGCTCTCTCCTCGTCTTTTTGGCCTCTATAAGTTATGAAGCTATTTTAAAATTAAAAAGTTTGTCTGTTACTAACTGTTCCAGGCGCCTTCTGGAAAATGGGGAGAAAGTGCCAAAAATACAGAGATGAATCAACAACTTCTCTCTCTCATTTTGTGGGCTTGAGGTTGCTTTCCGCACTCCCATCTTAACAACAGTTTAGCCTAGGTGTGAATACTATCAAAAGAGGGAGACGTTCTCTCTGCAGCGCTGTTTGCCCACCTGATCTGCGGGCCCCTGACAGTTTGAAAGACTCTTTTATGTTTACCTTTGGAATGCAAAAATACAGCAGGGAGACTTTCTTGGGTTTGCAGTACTCTGCCACTGGTTGATTTTCTCCTCAGCTCCTTATAGTTTTTCCCTTCTTTCTCCCAGATCTCCCCCCCATCCCCCCGTCCCCAATTAGCACTTCCAAGAGAGCGTGAGTTCCTAAATTGGTATTCAAGCTGATATTCCAGTCCTTATCTGTTGCCTTTTGGTAGGCAGAGAGAGGGATATTTATATATTGCCGCTGCTAAAATTTCTCGTCGTCGCCACGAGAATCCCAACTTCAGCTCAAGTCCGTCCTAAATCAGTTTTTCCTCTGCGGCCATACCTGTCTTTCCCTTTTCACTGCACTCACTTTTCACCTTTCTGCTGAATCCATCACTAAATAGTTTGTGGGCTCTGAGTGCCTTCTCTCCCCCAGGTCCCTGTAGCTGGACTCCCATCTCTGGTGTAATTTATATTTCTATTTCATCTGTCCCCCCGCGTCCCCCCGTTTAATTTTTTTATTAATTTTTAAATTTTTTTTCCCCTCCCGGCCGTGCTGCCGGATCGGGCTCTTCAGAGACCCATTTATCAGCTGTCACTAAGCGCTTGCTGAGTGCTTCCCTCTTCTCGTCGTCCCCGCTCCCTCCCCACGCCGCCAGCCCTTCCCTCCTCCCGCACAGCGTCTTTCTCCAGCTATTTTTTTTTTTTTTCTCCTTTTCCCGGGTAATTTTATTTCCCTGCCGTATCCCGTGAGCCGGCGGGACTCTCCCGGCGTGTGTGTCCGCGGGCGGAGGGCGGGCGCAGGGCGGGCCGGCCCCGTGTGACTCGGCTCGGCCCCGCGAACCGGCTCCCCCGGGACCCCCCCGCTCCCCCTCCTCCTTTTCCGGCCCCCGCCCCGCCCTCGCACCCCCTCCCCGGTAACTTTCTAGTACCTTTCCTCACCACTCCGGGCAATCAGTGGTCATTAGCGGGAGCGGAGCGGTGTAGGGTTTCATGTGTCTAATGGCCCTGTGAGTGGTGATAGCTGCGCGGGGATGCGGCTGGCAGCCCGCGCCGATTTCACTTTCTGTTTTGTGCTCACTTTCTCCGCAGTTGTTGCTCTCCCCGCTCGCTCCCAGCCTCTCTCTCTCTCTCTCTCTCTCTCTCTCTGTGTGTGTCTCTCCCTCCCTTCCCCTCTCCCTCCTCTCTCTCCCTGTGTTGTCTCATCTTGCCTGTGCTGTCTGGGCGGGGGAGCCCTGCCTCCTTTTGCCTTCCTCAGATCAATGCCCTGGCCACTCACTTTCTGATGTTGCACGACGGGAAATGCTTTGAATACTTACGACATGGCCGCTCACATTGATTGCCAAGATTGACAGCAGTAACCATCGCCTTCACTTGTTTCAGGAGGAAAAAAAAAAAAAAATGAACCTGATTGTAACCAAATCTCCAGGCAACCCATCCGCAAACTTCTAACGATCGGGATCCTGCACATCCATGGCCCGGAGAAACACCAGCAGACTCTAGTTCATTTATTTTATTTTATTTTACCGAATTACTACCCATTTATTCCTCTCCTCTCCCTCCCCCCCTTCACCTCCTTCCCTCTTTTTTTATTTTTAATTTTTTTTTTAATGAAAATTACTGAAGCGCGTTGCAAAAAAAAAAAAAAGGAGGCTCTCCCAGTGCTTTGTGCCACACTGGATCCCGAGGAGGTAACCAGGAAAACCAGCCCTATTGTGTTGTATACCTGTTGTTTGCTGTGGTGTGTAGTGCTGCGTGGCTTGGTGGCGGTGGCGGCGGTTTAATGGGTTTTCGCTGGATTTATGTCGCTTTGCAGGAGAGAATTCAGTTTCCCCTGCGCTGTCTTTAATGGGTTATTAGTTGCAATTGAGTGAAGCAGCAGCGTCCGGAGATAGATCTGTTGTTTAGCTTTTAACATTGCTAAATTCACCCCTTCCCCCGCCTCCCCCTGCACGATTATTTACTTTGATATCACGAGGGTGTTGTGTTTCTTTCTTCTTATTATTTTTTCTTCTTTTTTTTTTTTTTTTTTTTTTTTTTTTTTTCCTCCCTTCTCTTTAGGGAAAAGTAGTTATAGTCTCGTCCCCCTGTGAGTTTCCGGGGCTGTTTGAATCCCGAGGTTTCCGAGACGTTAAGGGACCCCAGTACCTTGAAATCACAACACTTTCTCATCCTTCCCGAGTAGAGTTTATTTTAAAATGTAGTGACAGATCAGCGTTGTATTTTAAGATCACCCACGGCAGGCGAACACATGGTGCGGGAAGATATTGTACGTAAGGAACTAACACGAGAGGGAGAAAGAGAGGAAAAATAAAATCCGAAATAAATCTTTGAGAGCGGAGCGCTGCTGTCATTGCTCCGAAGTGCTCGCGTGGGTTTCTCCTGGCGGATAACCCCGAGAGACGCGGGATGGAGAAAGGCGAGGGGAGTTTAGCGGTGCCTGTGGGTTCTGCGCGAAGTTTGAGGCGGGTGAGTGCTCGGGAGCCGGCCGGGCACGGCCGCGGGGAGCACACAAAGCTGCGGAGCGGCGGCGGCCGTGCCGCGCTCGGCCACGGCGCGGCGCTGTCCCCGGGAGCCGCCGCCGCCGCCTTATCTCCCCCGGCAGAGCCCGGGATAAAGTTATACCGAAAACTTTAAAATCGATATCGCGCCCTAATTCGTGATACACAAGGAGGGGGGAAGAAGGCAGTCCATCATCAGAGAGCTCTGTTTACACCCGGGGAAGGGGAGATGCGTGCCGCTTTGTGGCAACAGTCGACCTGGGATTTCTTGCTGCCTTAGCTCTTTGCCGGAGGTCATGCAAATCGACCTTAAAAGAATGCATAAGCCATAAATTAAAATAAACCCTTAGCCAGAGGCTGATCCATAAGTAGACAATACCTAACCTGGACAAAACGGCTTCCTTTGCGAGCTGAAAAAAAGAATAGTGCCTAAACTAAATGCAAAGTAAGTTTTCAGGAAGTATTTCACTTACTATTATTACTGTTATTCTTCTTTTAAAATAAAATAGTGGCAGTTGCAACAAGCTAGCGCAGCTGTTTGCAGGCGGTGCTGCAGGATACGAGTGAGACAAGGTGTGTCTTGTGGAGAGCTTGTTCTTTTCCTGGGTTTCACTACCTTGGAAGCTGTTTATTTTTTTGGATTGGGGATAAGAAGCCTCTTTTTACCGTACACGCAATTTGATGGTTTATCTCGGATAACGCTGAAGAGTTTATGGCCAAATCTGGGTTGCCTGCAACTGTCACATGCGCGCACACAAGCTGTGTCTGTATATAATAGTCTCGGGACTTGTTTTTTTTTCCCGCAGTTTTTGACAATTGTTCCATTCATGATCCTGAAAGGAATCATCAGTGGGAGCTAATGAGAGCGCCTCTGCGGCTTGCCCCGCTCCGGGGAGGAGCGGGCACCGGCGCTGCCCGCTCGTGTCATGCATGCACGCGTGTAGCGGCGGCGGGGTCGCGGCTGGGTGTAGGCAGGGGACAGGGAGAGCAGAGAGGAATGCGAGCAGGTACTTCCAGGCGTGCAGCGCCAGCCGAGCCGCCGGAGCGCGTCCCCGGGCCGGCAGCCCCGGCCGCGGCCCGAGCCGTGCGGCGGGGCCCGGAGGTCACTGCCGGGCTCCCTCCCGTCCGGCCGAGCGCTGCCCGCGGCCGGCTCGCCGTGCGGTGTGCTGCGGGTTTGTTACGTGCGAAAGGACGGGAAGGAGTGAAAGTGGCACCGTGAAAGGACAATTAGTGTCGCGTCTGAGCGGCCGCGGTAGGGGGAAGGGGGGCCGCGGGGAAAGGCAGCCCGGTGGGAGCCTGGGGGCGGCAGATTAGTGCTGTCCTAGGGGTGTTTCCCAAAAACAGAGAGGTGAAACTTTCTGTGATAAAGTAATGTATCTTCGCCTGCTGTTCGTAGATAAGGTGTATGTTTATTAAGCAAATTTAAATAGCCTTCGGCACACGAGCGGCACTTTGTTCCTGCTGCTTTCTCTTACCCTCACTTTAACATTTTTTGCCATTTCCATCTTCAGTGCTGATCCTGAGGGCAGGAGAACAGTTCTACCCAGTCCTTAAACAGAGTTGGAAGTCCAAAAATTAACGAATTTCCCTTTCTGTATTCGTGTAATGGAGCAATTTTGAAATCTGTTTTGAGACTTCGACTTGACTTGACTTGTTTTATTGACGTGCTTGTGCCCACTCATTTAATTAAGCCATTATAATACCATAAAGTAAATAATAAGAATGAATGTGAGATATGTGCTTGTAGCCTGCCATTAAATACGAACATTTCCCTGGAAAGGACCCTTTAAAAAACTTTTTTTCAGCACCCCATGATTCTTTGGCAAGATCTTATTGCAGGTTTTTGTTTTGAGCCAGGATATTTCGTGGGTTTTTGTGCTCATGACGTTACATGCACACTACGCTTGGAATATAAACAGCGAGCGTACCTAGCAGCTCATTCTAGTAAAACTAAGGAATAATTATTTATAGTGAGTACATTTAAAAGAAAATAATGAGGTCATTTAGAGTATGCTGCAGTTTGAAGTAGCTCGACACCTGGCAGAAACTACAGACGCGTTTTCTTCAGACTCTGCACTATCCATAACTTTTCCTTATAATACATTCTTGTGTTAAGTGAGAAAGGCTGTTTGTAAAACAATCCCCTGGCTGGTTCCAGTGTTGGGTGAAGCTGATCCTGTAATGGCATTTTGTTTTGAACAGTTGCTGTAGTTGAAGTTCCCTCATAAGGTAAGGTGGCACTGGGTCTGAAAGGAGGTCCAAATGCCACATTTATAATTAGACTGCCAATTCAGCACATTGTATCTATTGCTATACAGGGATATACTGCTGTGTCTGGTCTCTCAATAGACTGTATTCAGAATTAGCCAATTCAACTGCTTAAACTTTGGAGTCAAATTTAGAATAGGCAATGAGAGAAGGAAAGAAAGAAAACAATAATGCTTTCTTTTTTTCCCTCAGCTAGCTATTAAAAGCCAAAGAATATACGGAAACCAACCCAGGCACTGCTCTTGGAAGCCCTGCACCGAGCGCAGCCTGGCCAGCATCGCCTGCAAAACCATTTTGAAGCGCTCTTCTCCGGGGGGAGGGGAAGGTGAGCCCTGGGCATCGCTCCCAGCGCCGCTCTCCAGGCCGCTTCCCGGGCCGCCCGCAGCCGGGGAGGGGGCACAGGGGACAGCCCGGCCCGGTCCGGCCCGGCCCCGCAGCGACCCCCGGTGCCGCCTGGGGCGGGAGCGGCCGCGCCCGGAGCCCGCGCCCCCTCTGCCGCCGGCGTGTGCCCGCCGTGCCCCGGCAGGCTGGCGGCTCCCGGCCCCTTCCCTCCTGGCACACGCGTGTCGCTCGCCCCGCTTCCCCCAGCCTCCTCGCCGGGAACTTTAATTCATTCAGCGATGAGCGCCTAAGAGGCCCTTTGGTCGGCAGTCTCGCATCCTCTGCTAAACGCATTATTTCCTCCCTCCTCCCTGCGGCTCCCTGCTCCGTCTCGGTTCTGCTGGGAGGCTGAACTGGGCTGCCGCAGCGCTCCCTCGGTTTCCTTCTCTGCTAGATGGCAGGGTGCAAGCCAGTGCCATGTGTATAACACGGCATAAAGGGAGCGAGACAGATGGCTGTCTCTCCCTGCACGTTCCCGACTCTCCGCTCAACTTATGTAACTGCTGCTTTTCTTCCTTTTTTTTTTTTTTTTTTTTTTTTTTTTTTTTTTTTTTTTTGCGTTTATGCACCGGGGAAAGCGACAAGAGAAACAAAGTGGAGCCCATCAGTTTCACTGGTAAGGCCACAAGTGCCTTAGCAGTAGAAAATACTTGTAGAAAATAATAGCGGATGTCCAAAGTTAGTCGCCTTCACTTGTCAGCTTGGTTTTGTTGACAAGTGGGAACTGCCAGTGCTTGTTCCCTCGCCAGTGGTTTTTAATATGTGGCCAACAACTGTTCGTGGTCATTTCCCGCCGAACTTCTTCTGCTCAAGAGGAAAAAAAAATCTCTTTGGACATATTTTTTGCATCTTTGATTGTATTTTTAGTCC